TCCTGGAACAGAAAAGGGCATAGTGGAAAACTCTTAAGTTTTAATGTCTTTCGGTAATCTTTTGTGCCAGTGTTGATTTCCTGGTTTTGATAATTGTGCTATAGGTATTTGAGATGTTAATAATAAGGGAAGGTCGGTAAGGGACATATGAAAACTGTGTACCATTTCTGTAACATTTCTGTAGGTCTAAAATTAGTTCAAAGTAAAAAGTTAAAAAAGAAATAAAAGTCCGACACCCGCACACAACCCACCAATGGATGCCAAGCTAGAAAATTCCCAGGTTAGAACCCAAGGTCTGGTAGCTATTATTAGCTTCCAGTCCCAGAGTGAGGATTAGCATCCAATTTCAGAGACAGGAGAAAGTAGCAACTACTTTCTCCAGGTCCCTAGAAATTTTATGAACCAAACTTTATCTTGTAAGTTGAAAGAACTGTGCTGATTAGGAAATCAATCAGGTTGTGGTAAGGGAGAAGCAGTTCACAAAAGGAGACTTGGAATAAGAGTGTGAGAGTAGACAGGAGGGAAAGGCAATTGCAGTTAGAATTTAAATGATACAAATGCCAGTCATTATGTAACTTAGATTTTTTTATACAAATGAATTCTTGATATTCAAAGTGCCTTGCCTGTGACATGATACCACTGGTATCCTATATAGGGCTGGTTCAAGTCCCAGCTGCTCCATTTCCCATCAGCTCCCTGCTAATGAGCATGGGAAAAGCACTCGAAGATGGCCCAAGTTCTTGGGCCTCTGCACCCGTGTGGGAGACCCAGATGAAGCTCCTGGCTCAGACCTGGCTGTTGCAGCCATCGGAGAGAGAATCAGCACATGGAAGGTCTTGTCTGTTTGTCTCTGTCTATCTGTCTCTCTCTCTCTCTCTCGTCCCCTTTCTCCTCTTGCCCCCTTGTCTCTGTAGCTCTGACTTTCAAATAAGTAAATCTTTAAAAAATATTAAAACTGACTTTATGTGCGATTTGCTTAATTCTGTCAGATTATTTGTGGTGGAAAATGGCCTATGGAGCTTGAAGGCCTTGGACTTTTAACACAAGTCTGAAGACTTGCTGCCACTCAATACCTATGATGAGGGTGATGATTACTTTTATCATTCCCTGGATACAGCTTTAAATCAAAATAGTGTTTACTGACCTCCAGTTTTTTCTTTGTTTATATAACCTACATGCTGCCCCTTTTTTTCTTTCTTCACAGGAGTAACCTAAAATTTATTTATCTTCTACCAAAGGATTAATGCAACTCTAGTCATACCAGATACACTTTGTATAGATTTGTTATGATAAAATGTTTAGAGATTCAACATCAGGAAAACATGAGATGGGAAAAAATTAATAATATAAAAAGATATAACTAAAAATGAAATCCAGACAAGCCATTTTAGAGACAAGAATTCACCAAGGAGAAAGGTTTTACTTGCTGATCTGTTGGAAGTACACTAGTTCTGAACTGTTTCCAAATAGTTGGAACAACAGTGATTATGTGTAGGCAAACATGATGACTTCCTCAAAGCTATAGGGAATAATCTAATATCCAATACTGAGCTCTGATAAAAGAAAAAATATATGTATTTCCAGAATTGCTTTCTGTTTTTAAACATAGGAAAAGTTATTTAGTATCAATAGATAATTTTGGAGAAGTATCAGATGCTTTTGACAGATTGAATGTACACATGTGTTTAGCTTCAACATGTGGAAACAGCTGAAGTGAGATATGATCAAAACTTACAGGTTCAGAGGTTTGATCTTTGCTTTCTATCAAGAAGAGATTTGTATCCTTGCAGACATAACCACCGACATTTAGTGTTCATTGAGAAGGCAGATCAATTGCTGACAGATTTCCTCTTTAGGTTCTTTACATTGTGTTTAAGATAGGTAATAAAATAATGACTGACCAATCTAAAGGAAAAGAGTGGAGATTTTTCCAATACAACCTCTGGTTTGCATTTTCATATTGTGCTTGGGCTTCATTGCCTTACTCACAAGCAGTTCCTCTGTTCAGACTTCTATATGCAGTAACATTTCTTGTGGTGTCCAGTTTTTCTAAATTTTTGATGAAAAGGATTTTGAGTGCTTTTTTTTTCTTACAGTAATAGACATTTCCAGCCTGTGTAAAAGAGCTAGAATGAACATACTTATAGATTGGGAGTCTTTTCAAAGTAGAACCCATTGGTGGATGACTGTTTTCTGAATGATGACTAAACAGCTACAGTCCCAATAGTATATCTACAAATGCCACTATGACAAATTTCAGATGCCCACAGGTACAAAGCTAATAACTGAAAAAGATAAAGTGCAGAGGAGGCAGAGGAAGATGGAGATGATCCTGATGATAATGACAACATAGGCTGCTATTACCCAGATATACCATGTGCTGAGTACCATGTCAGATTCTTCCCGTACATTCAAGCTGAGTCTCCTTTGCCAGTTTTTTGTTTTTGTTTTTTAGTTTTTCTTTATGTGAGAGATACGCCTATAATAGCCAAGGCCAGGAGCCAGGAACCCAATTACTTGAGCCATCACTGTTGCCTCCTGGGATCTGCATTGGCAGGAAGCTGGAGCCAGGAATTGAAGCCATCCCATTCCTTCTTCCTTTAATCTAATTCTGATACTCATGTCTCTGCCTGAGTGCTCAGAAAAAAGTGATAATTTTTAAATCAAGAATGTATTTTTGTACAAGGCTTAGTTTATAACACAGCAAGTCTAATGTGTAGTATAGGCATATGTGGGTGTTCAGACTAGCAGGATTTCTCTTCAGTTATTTTATTCTTAATGCTTTGTTACAGCATTGTTAGCTTTTACTGTACTACTCCATGCTGTATAAATGTTAGTGATATTAATGTGACTCTTAATTCTCAGGCTTGCTTTTCATTTCTCATAATCCAGAAGTAAAACTCAATTTTTGTTTTTAAATTTAATTCTGCATTATAACATTGTATGTATATAATAGAAATAGCATAACAAAGTTCTTTTCATCATATTACCTGTCATAAATCACAGTTTCTGAGTTAGCCACTTGTATTTTCACCTGAAAAAGTTGAAGAATGGGGAGCTGGCATTGTGGCATAGCAGGTAAAACTGCCACTGCCTGCAGTGCCGGCATCCAATATGAGCGCCACTTTTAGGTCCCAGCTGCTTCATTTACAGTGCAGCTGCTTGCTAATATGCCTGGGAAAACAATGAAAAACAGCCCAGAAGCAGGCCACACAGCAGACTCATAGAATGACAAACTCCCTAACCAGCACTCTGGCTTCAGAATCAGCCCTTAAGGCATTTGGATCTGGCTAAAAAGCCCATGAGAATATTTCAGGCATGGAAAGCCAAGACACTGTGGCAAAAAAAAATGACCTATATGAAAGACCTCTGTGAGATCCCAGCAGAAAGAACGGGCCATCAAAGAAGGAGGTACCTTTCTCTGAAGCGAGGGAAGAACTTCCACTTTGATGATGGCCCTTCTAAATAAGGTCAGAGTTTGTGGACTCGGAAGTTCTGTTTCTTTTTCTTTCTTCCTTCTTTCTTTCTTTCTTTTTTATTTATTTATTTATATATATTTTTTTTGACAGGCAGAGTGGACAGTGAGAGAGACAGAGACAAAGGTCTTCCTTTGCCGTTGGTTCACCCTCCAATGGCCGCCACAGCTGGCGTGCTGCGGCCGGCGCACCGCACTGATCCGATAGAAGGAGCCAGGTGCTTCTCCTGGTCTCCCATGGGGTGCAGGGCCCAAGCACCTGGGCCATCCTCCACTGCACTCCCTGGCCACAGCAGAGAGATGGCCTGGAAGAGGGGCAACCGGGACGGAATCCAGCGCCCTGACCAGGACTAGGACCCGTGTGCCGGCGCCGCAGGTGGAGGATTAGCCTAGTGAGCCACGGCGCTGGCCAGAAGTTCTGTTTCTATAGCCTTGGCAGCTCATGACAAAAGCCTCAGGTGATCACTTACGTCATAAATAAGAGTGTCAGTTGTTAAATCAACAACAGGAGTCACTGTGTACTTGTTCCCCATGTAGGATCTCTGTCCTTAATGAGTTGTACTATGAGAATTAACAGTAAAACTAGTCTTCAAACAGTACTTTATACTTTGTATGTCTGTGTGGATACAAGCTAATGAAATCTTTACTTAGTATAGAGTTGATCTTCTGTATATAAAGATAATTAAAAATGAATCTTAATGAAGAATGGGATGGGAGAAGGAGTAGGAGGTAGAAAGGGAGGGGCGTGGGAGGGCAGATATGGGGGAGAAGAACCACTATAATCCAAAAGGTGTACCTATGAAATTTATATTTATTAAATAAAAGCTTTCTAAATTTTTTTAAAAAGAAATAATACAAAAAAAAAAAAAAAAAGCCAGGTCCTTGGGCCCCTGCACCCACATGGGACATCTGGGAGGAGTTCCAGGCCCCTGGCTTCAATCTGGCCCAGCTTTGTTTGTTGCAGCTATCTGGGGAGTGGACCAGCAGAAAGAAGATCTCTCTCTGACTCTCCCTCTCTGTATGTAACTCTTCCTTTCAAATAAATAAATAAATCTTTAAAAAAAAGAGGGCCAGCACTGTGGTGTAGTAAGTAAAGCCGCTGCCTGCAGTGCCGGCATCCCATATGGACATGAGTTCATGTCCCAGCTGTTCCACTTCTAATCTAGCTCTCTGCTATGGCCTGGGAAAGCAGTAGAAGATGGCCTAAGCCCTTGGGCCCCTGCACCCGCGTGGGAGACCTGGAACAAGCTCCTGTCTCCTGCCTCCCTGCTTCAGATTGGCACAGCTCCAGCCATTGTGGCCAATTGGGGAGTGAACCAGCAGATGGAAAACCTCTCATTCTCTCTGTCTCTCTGACTTTCTCTCTGCCTCTCCTTCTCTCTGTAACTCTGCCCTTTAAATAAATAAATAAATCTTTTTTAAAAATTTGATGAATAGAAAAGCAAAATACAGTGTTATAGTGACCAAATAATCACCATAGTTATTACTCCTGCTACTCATAAGCATGTTTGTCTTCCTTTTGTAGGTGGTTGCCTATCACTATTGCCAAGCAGATAACGCCTATACCTGCCTGGTACCAGAATTTGTCCACAACGTTGCTGCCCTGCTCTGCCGCTCACCCCAGCTGACAGCCTACCGGGAACAGCTTCTCCGAGAGCCTCATCTACAGAGCATGCTGAGCCTTAGATCCTGTGTTCAGGACCCCATGGCCTCCTTCCGGAGGGGAGTCTTGGAGCCTTTGGAAAACCTCCACAAAGGTACAGATGAGGTCCAAATGAGGTAAAAGGTGGAGGTTTTGGAGCCCGAGGTCACCTGTGTTATGCTATAGAAATGATTATTTTTATCACGTTGCCAAAACTAAATATTCCAGGATACAGTTAAGAGGGGAAGAACGATTTCACTTGAGGGAACAAAATTTCTGCAGCAACTGCTACTTTAATCCTTTCTTTATAAAAATTCTCATTCTCATTTCCAAATACAATGCATTTTTCTCATACTAAAGGTAGTAGAGCTTCCAGTCCTTTCTGTGCATTCAAATAAATCAGTAAATTCGTGGCTCAAACTCAGTGTTGTGGAGTTTCTATATTTAGAACCTCCCTATCTTTATGCAATATTTTTTTTCACTCCATCAGTTTAGGAAAAGCACCCATGGCAGCACCATCCTATGTATATTAGGAATCACTTAATTGTATACTTTAAAAGGTATTTTAAAGATATGTAAGGTTATTTCATAGTATATTTGTCTTAAGAAATCTGTTATTTTTAAAAGCAAAAAATGAATGTGATTTGTCTCCCACTCATGCCCATACCTTTACTCCTTTGTTTTTCCATATTTCTAGTGTCGCTGTGGCTGAAGGAGATGTGCACCATTGCTTTTAAGGTGGCACTTGCCTTCCTTCATCTCTCTGCCCTATACCCTTGCCTATGAAGCAAAGAAGTTGAGTAAACCTGAGATTTCTGAGCAATCCTGTTTATTCCTGAGACTTAGATATAATTTCAGGGGTTTCAGAGGTACTCATAAGAAAGAGTGCTTGTAATTCCTGTTCTCCTGTTCGTCAACTTTAGTTATTTCAGCTTCCACGCTAGTTACTTGGATCTCGGAATTTCTTTTTCTTCTCAACTGTTGACCTCGGTCTCTACCTCTGCTACCTGTTAGCTTGACCACACCCTAGAACTTTCTAAACCTTGAACTTTTTTCCACAGGTATTTTTAAGCCTATCTTCTCTACATTCAATCAATCTCGGAATCCTGCTAATTCCAGCTTCATGATATTTTCACATTCATTTCTCCCAAACTCATTCCAAACATTATCACCCTAAAGGCTCTTTAGTTTCCCATAACATTATATCTTTATTGCTACCTCTTCATGGTCTTCTTCAGTTCACCGGTTTAGTGCTTCTTTCATAGCATAACACACTTAGATAATCATGAAAAGTTTCCTTAGCACACTTGGGATAAAAATTCATGACTCTTCATGCATATCCATGGCTGACTATGGGGCTACAGCTGTATTGGGCCCATATACCCTGAAAGCTGAAGAGACTCATTTAAAAGCACACATGTAACCCTTCCCTGGCAAACATGCTGGAGAAGCTCTGCCCCAGTCTCCTTAGTCCTCTAGACATTCTGTGCCGCTTTCAGATAAAGCATTATAAAGCGTTTCTCTGATCACTTAATTTCCCAATGATTCTCTCTTGCCTACTGAACTAACTTCAGCTCCTTAGTCTGTCTAGCACTCAAGGTGCTGATGGCCTGAATTCAAGCTGGGTTACAGCCTTACTGTTCACTTTTATTCTTTTGAACCATATGTGTACACATAAACTAAAATATCACTATTCCTCAAATACTCCTCTGTGCTTTTCTGCTCCATACACTAATTGTGGTTTTCTTTTTTGATTTGCCTTCTCGTCACATCTCTTCTTGTCATCATTCTACCTGTCTCACAAGGACCAGGTGAAATGCAACCTCATTCATGAAATACCTGCTATTTCATCTTCCCCTTCCCATTCACACACAGTGTGAATCGATATTAGATTTTTTTTACCTCAATTGTGGCATTCAGCACATCATTGTATGTATAACAATTTAAAATTTTATCACATTTATTGAACATTTACTATATACCAAATATACTTTGTACTTTACAAGAATTAGTTATTATCTATTCTTATCCTACCCCGTGTTGTTGACATTAAGAAACTTTTCTTATTCAGCTTTTATCTTTCATAGTGGTTACCTCACTTTGAGTGTAGTAGACCTTCAGGAAATACATTTTGAATGAGTAAGTGAACATAGAAACTGCTTGCTGTTGAAGGAAGAACAGTGTTAAAGGATCTCCATACACTTCAAGGCTAATTCATGGAGAATACCTAAAAGCTTGCAAAATGAGTTGCAAATTATCAATGATATTTTATGTTTTATAATTTGCCCCAAGATAGATTAGCTGTTTATTTAGAGCACTCTAACTAGGTTTATTTATCTCTAATCTTTAAAGTGAATTTAATAGCTTCATCTTATTCTCATGTTTTCACTTGCCCTTAAAAATCACCTTCGTAAACAATAGCTGGAAAAACAATTTATTAAATGCTAAAAATTATTTGATTAACCCAAAAGAATTCAGGAAAGAAAGAAAAGGTTTTTTAAAAAGATGAAACAAGCAAGATGATAGACTTTAAGTCAGTCATACCAATAATTACATTAAATGTAAATAGATTAAGCACTTTTATATTGAAAGGCTATAGGACTGAATAAAAAGTAAATTCTATCCACATGATGTTATTTAAATATAAAGACAGATTGAAAGTAAATAATAGACTGACCTCAGAATCAACCCATAAGGCTTCCTGGTCAGGCTGAAAGGCTTGTGGGAGCATTTCAGGCATGGAAATACAAGCCTCTGTGGAAAAACAATCCTACACAGAGGCTCTCTATGAGACCTCAGAAGAAAGGGTCATCAAAGAAGGAGACACTCTTCTCTGGAGGGAGAAGAGAGCATCCACTTTGCTTACGGCCGTGTCCAAATACCAAGTGACGGAGTCTGTGGTCACAAAAGGCTTCCATAGCTTTGGTAGCCCATGACAAGGGCCTCAGTTGATCATTGACATCACAAATAAAGAGTGTTAATTGTTAAAGGAACAACAGTAGTCACTGTGCACTTGCTCCCCAGGTAGGACTTCTGTCCCTATTGAATTGTAATATGAGAATTGGCTGCAAATTCTCTCCTCAAACTGTACTCTATATGTTGTATGTGGGTGTAGGGGCAAATTGTTGAAATCTGTGATTAGCATCGAGTTGGTCCTCTGTATATAAAATCATACTAAAAATGATCCATAATGAAGAAGGAGATGGGAGAGGGAATGGGAGGTGGGATGGGAGTGGAGTGAGGGATATGGGGGAAGGAACCACTATATTCCTAAAGTTGTATCTATGTAAAAATGCATTCATTCAATAAAAAAATTATGAAATGAAAAAAGAAAGTAAGTAATAGAAAAATGTGTATAGTGTAAACATGGGAAGTTGAAGTAGATTTATTAAAATCAAATCTTCCATTTACTGGTTCATTCTCCAGATGGCCACAACTTTCCAGGCTGGCCAGGCTGAAGCCAGGAGCTTGTTCCAGGTTTCCCCTGTGGGTTCAGAGGCCCAAGGACTTAGGCCATCCTCTGCTGCTTTCCCAGATGCATTAGCAGAGAGCGGGATCAAAAGTGGAGTAACCAGGATACGAACCTGCGCCCATATAGAATGCCAGCATTTCAGGCGGTAACTTAACCCATTACACCACAGCACCATCCCCCATGTTTGTCTTTTAAAATGTATTGTCTTTGTGTACCATGATACAAAACAGAATGGGCAGCCCTGTTCTGGGAGAATGTTCTGTTATTGAGATGTAGGTAGTTATGTGATGGCTTTCCAGGGTATATATAAGCGTGGCTCCTCAGAGGTAGCATGTAATATTTTTCTAGATATTACCTGCCTAAAATCAGAATACACTTCAAGATAGGAGGTATCACTAGAGAGGCACTTAATACACATAGACCAGCCAGCTTATCAAGAAGGTACAATAGTCTTAAATGTGAATTCACCTAATAAAAGAGATTCAAAGTGCATTCAAAAACTGACAAAACTAAAGATACAGACAAATTGATTTTTAGAGATTTTAACACCTTTTTTCAGTAACTATTAAAATAAGTAGGCAAGGGGCCGGTGCCGTGGCACACTAGGTTAATCCTCCACCTACGGCACCGGCATCCCATATGGGTGCCGGCTTCTAGTCCCAGTTGCCCCTCTTCTAGTCCAACTCTCTGCTGTGGCCCTGGAGGGCAGTGGAGGATGGCCCAAGTGTTTGGGCCCTGCACCTGCATGGAAGACCAGAAAGAAACTCCTGGCTTCGGATCAGCGCAGCGCCGGCCATAGCGGCCATTTGGGGCATGAACCAACAGAAGGAAGACCTTTCTCTCTGTCTCTCTCTCTCACTATCTGTAACTCTACCTATTAAATAAATTAAAAAAAAATTTTTTTAATATATTTAAAAGAAAATAGAGGAAAGTGGAACTTCCCTCAATTTATTTTATTAGGCAAGCATGATACTGACACCAAAATATGATAAGGACCTTATGAGAAAAGATAATTACAGAACAGTATTCCTCATGACCATCAAAGCAACATCCTGAAGGAAAACTAGCAAATTGATTAGTCCATCTTGGTCAGGAATGTGATGTTATTTAGCATTTGAAAGTTAACAGTGTAATTCATCATATTAACAGAATAAAGGAAACTATCCATGTAATCATCTCAATAAATTCAGAAAAGCATTTGACAAAATACCACACGAGTTAATGATTTTTTTTTCTAAAACCTGCAAATTAGGAATAAAAGGAAACTTATGGGCAGGCATTGTGGTGCAGCAGGTTAACCTGCTGCTTGGGATACCTGCATCCCATGTTGCAGTGCTGGTTTTAAGTCCCAATTCGATGTATTTAAATTGCAATAATTTTAAAAGTAGGTTAATTTTAAAAGGAGCTAGAGTTTTCTAGCTTCAGCCACCAATGTGAAGTGAAGAGAGACATTTAATTTGTTACTACAAGTAAAACAAAGATAAATCAGCTATCATGTGAAGGTTTTCTTGTTAAAAATTAGCTGATATACATCTTTTCACCCTTCCTCGCTTCTTCGGTTACACTAGCAGTAAGGCCTCAAGTACTAAACTGTTCTGACCTTAGTCCCTGCTTCCATGTGTTCACTTGCAGATGATATAATTTTTGCTTCTCTTGGACATCTAGGTAGAGTGTTAAATGAGACTACTAAGGAAGACAGTTCAAGTATTTGCTAAGTGTACATATAAAGAGACAATGGGGTGGGGGGCGGCGCTGTGGCAAAGTGGGTTAACGCCCTGGCCTGAAGCACCGTCATCCCAGATGGGCACCGGTTCGAGACCTGGCTGTTCCACTTCCTGTCCAGCTCTCTGCTATGGCCCGGGATAGCAGTAGAGGATGCCCCAGGTGCTTGGGCCCCTGCACCCACGTGGGAGACCCAGAGGAAGCTCCTGGCTCCTGGCTTTGGATCAGCGCAGCTCCAGCCGTTGCGGCCATCTGGAGAGTGAACCATCGGATGGAAGACTCTCTCTCTCTCTGCCTCTCTTCTCTCTGTGTAACTCTGACTTTCAAATAAATAAATAAATCTTTAAAAAAAAAAGAGAGAGACAATGGGGAATATCATGGGGGGCCGGCACTGTGGCATAGTAGGTTAAGCCTTTGCCTGCGGTGCCAGCACCACGTGTGGGCTCTGGTTCATGTCCCAGCTGCTCCACTTCTGATCCAGTTCTCTGCTTATGACCTGGGAAAGCAGTAGAGGATGGCCCAAGTGTTTGGGCCCCTGTTCTCATCTCATGCAGGAGACCAGAAGAAGCTCCTGGCTTCAGATTGACTCAGCTCTCTCTGTAACTCTACCTCTCAAATAAATAAAATCTTAAAAATAATGTGCATCTACAAGGAATTAAATGACTAGAGCAGTGACTCCCAGATGCAAGTCCATTTAAAGTTTTCCTTCAATCTTTAAGAAAATAAGAACTGTGTAGAATTTGTATAGATGTGGATATAATGTGGATTTTTACATACGTGAGTATATAAAGGTTAAATAATGTCCTCCTACTTTTTAATGTTAAAATATGTCTTATTCTGTGAGTGGTGATTCCCTTTTGCCTTCCTCCCTTCTGGACCGGCAAGGTCCTGCTAACTAGTAACTCTTACTTGTTACTCACCATTCATTTATATTAAAATGTTCATTCAGACCGGCACCGTGGCTCAATAGGCTAATCCTCCACCTAGCGGCGCCGGCACACCGGGTTCTAGTCCCGGTCGGGGCGCTGGATTCTTTCCTGGTTACCCCTCTTCCAGGCCAGCTCTCTGCTGTGGCCAGGGAGTGCAGTGGAGGATGGCCCAGGTGCTTGGGCCCTGCACCCCATGGGAGACCAGGATAAGCACCTGGCTCCTTCTATCGGATCAGCGCGGTGCGCCGGCCGCAGCACGCCAGCTGTGGCGGCCATTGGAGGGTGAACCAACGGCAAAGGAAGACCTTTCTCTCTGTCTCTCTCACTATCCACTCTTCCTGTCAAAAAAAAAAAAAAAAATGTTCATTCAGTCTGGGTGTTTTTTAAGTCTCTGTTTAATGTGGTTCAAGAATCAATAAGTGAAAGAAGCAGCTTAAAATCTCACCAAGCCTGCTTCTTTGGTCTAGCCCTGAAAATAAACTGATTTTATCAGATTAGATCTGTGTAAAGTGCTGAAGGGAACCGGATACAAACAGCAGATCCTGTCCTTCCCTGGGATTCCTACTTCACTTGGTAGATGTCACAAGGGATTGGTCTCAGTGAGGCTACTTCTGGTGTAGTATAGGAAACCATGAGGATCTTGGCATCTAGCTGCCCAGTTCAGGTCTGTTGACTGGGATACCTGTTCTGTGTTCTCTCGACGCTTCCTTCCCAGCACACATCACATAGATTCCTATGTATTGCTTTTGACTTTAAATTAGACCTTTTTCGGGAAATTTTCAAAAGAACATGTGATCCTGTTCTCTTTAATATTATCAATTAGGAGAAAACAGAACACTGTCTATTATGCATTTTCAAGTGTGATAGAAAAATGAATTTCCATGTGGAAATTGTCATAATTCCAAGGCTTAAGCTATTTATAACTAACAATATGAGAATTTCTGAAAATGATGATCTATTTATTTATATCATACATTTGTGACAAAAGCTTTCACACCTGGTTAAAAAAACAACAGTATGAATTCACTAGATGTCTTCTGTGTCTTTATTTACCTTAAGCATTCAGTAAACACAAGAGGCCTTTTCTAATATTTTTTTCAAACAGATACATGGTCAAAAACCCAGTAAGAACTAACTTACCCACTTGGTAATTATTAAGTAATTTGTTTCTTTCTATCTCAGAGAGAAAAATCCCAGATGAAGATTTCATCATTTTAATTGATGGATTAAATGAAGCAGAATTTCACAAACCGGATTATGGGGATACAATTGTATCATTTCTGAGTAAAATGATTGGAAAATTTCCTTCTTGGCTCAAACTAATTGTAACAGTTAGGACCAGTTTACAGGTATGTGTTTGTTTGCTTTTGAACCATAAATTGTTTCCCTTGGAAAGAGCTTAATCTGAAAAAGTTAGGTCCTAGTTCCTTTAGTGATAACTAAAAACCTCAACCATATCCTAGAGCATTTGAATTATTCTTACAAATGATTATTTAGGAATTATCCTTATATTTTAAAGTAAGAGATAGTATCTGGAGCATGCATTCTCTGTATATAACAGATTCCTAAAATGCTAAAATGACCCTTAAAATAAAAAAGAAATTCCATTTTTCTAGACTTTGTCCTGATGACAGCAGTGTAAAGAAAGCCCCAACACTTTTACTTTTGTTTCATGTTTTTTATCATTTAATGCTGTGCAAAATCCAGTTCAACCTATTGTCTAGAGTCAGATTTTCTGGTTCTTCCCTCTGCTTCTACTGGAGCAACTGTTCTGTGGCATGAAAGTGAACTTTCTTCTGTAAATGCCTTCCTCTAACAAATAGCAATGATAGGGCTTTGTATTAAATTTACTATAACTGGGAGATGCTGTGTTTTTAATTGCCTTCCCTGCTCACTAACTGATCACTCAATGTCTAGAAGAAGTACCCAAAATGTGGAACTGAGCCTGTAAAAGCAGATGGGCTAATGATAAGTGATTCCACATTCCCCACCCTTCTCCCTGCCATTGTTGGTATTTTTGATTCTTTACTTATTCACAGTTCATTTGTAGCAGTGTTTCTTGCCCTTTTTCAAGCCATTCCCTGTTTTGATGAATATTAAAATATCATACATTATATCCATCCCACTACTTTGATACATCCTTATAGTAATGCATAGAAAATAGTCTTGTGTGAAGTCCCTACTTTTCCTCTTTACCAGGCATTTAGGAATTATACATTGACCAATTAGAAACTATATTTCTAATGGTAAAAAACTATATTTCTAGTCCTGGCCACCACCTTGCAGATATTTATTAGTCATCTCAAGGTAATTTAAGTTAAATGTGACTGAATCAACATAAATGCATCTTTACAACTAAAAATTACCTAATGTATCATTATTGGCCAGTAACTTGATTATTAATAAAAAATGGCCAGAAGAAATGTCCAGGAACACAATCTTTGACTACTTTTACCAAGTGTGTGCTTAGGCGATGTTCTCTTCATACAGATTTTCACATAATGCCATGTACAGTCTCAGAAGAAATTTTGAGCTTGAAACTTTTGATTTTTCACCAATACCAAAGAACAGAAAAATACAATACATATTCATCTACAAAGTCCCTATTTTAGTACTTTCACGGACAGAGATTTATAGTAGCTTTCCAAATACTTCACTTCACTTATTTAAACTAAAAATTTTTAAATTTACTTTATTTTAGCTCTGACATTAAAATAATTCATAGTTTTTTTTAAAGCATGTACCCTCATGTGTAATCAGTCATATAATTTCCACGAATGTTTCTGAAGTGCTTGATCATGTCAGGCACTTTTCTATGGGCTACAGATTCAATAATGCACAAGATACCCTGCCCTCATAAAGCCTGTATTATAATAAGGAAAACAAATAAGTAAAAAATTAAACATATACTAAAATTACAAGTATATTAAGTGCTGTGAGGAAAATTAAAATAGGATAAAGGGATAAATGGAGAAGGTGGTTGTTTTAGTTAGGGTAGATAGGAAAGTCCCCTCCAAAGAGCCTCATAAAGTGTGCATGGCTACTATGTAAGTAATAAGATATAGGGACTCAAGAATGGATGCAGAAGTACAGGTAAAAGTGATAGTGGCTTAAGCTGGAATCCATAGAAAGTTGTCATATTTGGAATATATTTTGAAGGAAAGTCATAAGGACTTGAAGCCTGAGTTTTTTGGTGAGAAAGCAAGTGAATGCTAGTTCAAGGGAAAAAAAAGCTTGCAGATACCTCTGAGGAGTTGGTGGTAGGTCCAGTGGTAATGCCATTTAGTAAGACAATAATGGTTTTGGTAGGGGACAGAATTTAGTAGTTCTGATTTGGTCACATTAAGTTTGTCTATGAAATATCGGTGTGTCACAGTTGAATAGACAGAGATAGAAGATGGGAACTCAGAGGAGATGGCTAAGCTGAAAACAGTTGGACGCCATCCACCTATACATGATATTTAGAACCACCTGCACGAAAACTGTTCAAGGGAATGAGAATGGCTAGACAAGAGAAGAGAATAGAGATCCAAGCCCCGAGCAGACTGGGAAATGAAAGAGAAGCCAACAAAAAAGGATAGGTAAAGGTGACCAATTTGCTAAGAGAAAAATCGAAGGAACATACTGTGGAAGCAGGATGCAGAAAGTGACGCCCCCAAAACAGATACAGAAAGATGTGATCAGCTGTGTCAGACACTACTGCGAGGCTGAGGAAGATGAGAATTTAAACTTGGTTTTTGGATTTGGCAAGATGAAGATTACTGATAACCTTGAAAAGAACCATTTCAGCGCAGTGGTTGGTTGAAGCTTGACTGGAGCAAATGGAGACTAGGATTGGAAGAGAGGAATTAGAGATAGTAGAGAAAACTTTCCTCTGAAATTTTACTAAAAATAAGACAGATACAGGATGGTAGCTGGAAGGAAGAGTGTAATGATGTGTATGTATCTGTAGTCCAACTGAGAAGAAAAATTGATGCAGAAGAGAGTGAGTATTTAAATGAGCAAAGTCTATAAGTAGATAAGAAAGGATGGAATCCAGTGTGTAAGAGTTGTCACAAAGCCTATCACCTTTCCCCAATATAGTTTCCAAGCAGATCACCAAGGTACCAAGCTGCCTACTATTTAGAAGTGTCCCGCTTGGCATCTCCAGAAGGCTTGTGTTAAAATGTAGTAATCTTATTGGAAGGGTTAGAGAGCCACATTTTTATATGGCATTATTTGAACCCTTCAATATTTCTCACACTGAATTGTAATTTGGTGTTATACCATGGTTTTTATACCGAGGAGAATTACAACAAAGGAAATATATAGCACTCCATTTCCTATATGAGTGTTGTTTAGAATATTGACTGAGAAGTTACTCCTAAAATACCCTTTACAAAGACCCATTTAAATAATAATCTAAAGTGCCAGTATTGGGAAAAATTGTATCTTTACTGTGCAACTAAATCATTTTAATCTGTGGCTACTAATACCTGATCACGTTTCCCTCTTTCCTTTGGCCCCTCAGAAGTTGAGGATAAATTTGTGGACCTCATGGTCTATCACAAGAGTTAGGGGAAACTGAAGGTCTTTCTGTCTCTCTCTCTTTCTCCATCTGTTTTAGGAAATTACCAAGCTGCTGCCTTTCCATAGGATTTTTTTGGATCGACTAGAAGAGAATGAAGCCATAGACCAGGACCTGCAGGCTTACATCCTGCACCGGATCCACAGCAGCTCAGAGATCCAGAATAACATTTCACTTAATGGCAAAATGGACAATACTGCATTTGGCAAGCTGAGTTCTCATCTCAAGACCCTAAGTCAAGGGTCCTATCTATACCTGAAACTCACATTTGACCTCATAGAGAAAGGCTATCTAGTGCTAAAGAGCTCTAGCTACAAAGTAGTTCCTGTTTCACTCTCCGAGGTTTATTTACTCCAGTGCAATATGAAGTTCCCAACCCAGTCTTCCTTTGACCGGGTGATGCCTCTTCTGAATGTGGCAGTGGCCTCTCTGCACCCACTGACTGATGAGCATATCTTCCAGGCCATTAATGCCGGTAGCATTGAAGGCACATTAGAATGGGAGGATTTTCAGCAGAGAATGGAGAACCTCTCCATGTTCCTAATCAAGCGCAGAGACATGACCCGTATGTTTGTACATCCGTCTTTTCGAGAGTGGCTTATCTGGAGAGAAGAAGGAGAGAAAACCAAATTTCTCTGTGATCCCAGGTAAGACATAGATCTGTGATGAGCAATTCTGAGCCTGTTTGTATGTATTGCATAGGACATGGGTATTTAAAAAGTGAGATGTGCTCCTCAAGGAAAATTTTACACAGAGGAGACACCATGTCTGTTTCTTCTCAAGGCAAGGCTATGATGAAGCTAATTTGTTTTCACACAATGTTTTTTCCTAAAGCTCTGTGTCTATATAGATATCTAGAATGCTGCCCTGCATGCCTGGGTTTTCCTAAATAATGTTCACTGATCCCACTAGGGAGTACAGGCTATCATTTAGCCATTGAACAGACCTGAGTGTTTCTCAGATAGGAAATAAGAATTAATCCATTGTTCATCTCTCAACTTAGAGCAGAATCATTTAAACATTGTTTTTGCTTTTTGTGAAGTTTTACTGTCATTTAACTTACCAGTGATAGGCTGGGCATTTGGCCCAGTGGTTAAGATACCGAAGCCAGCGCCCCACGTTGGAGTGCCTGGGTTAGATACTGGGCTTCTGACTCCAGTTTCCTACTAACGAGAGCCCTGGGAGGCAGTGGTGATGGCTCAAGGTGGGAGACCTGGAGTGTATTCCTAGCTCCCAGCTTCATCCCAGCCCTGTGTCATCCACTATGGGTATTCAGGGTGTAAATCAGTAAATGAGAGCTCGCTGTCTTTCTAACTCTCAAATTCAAACACATACATTATTGTCATCATCATCAGTGACTTACTCTATTAAAGTCCAGCCAGTACTGAGATTTATACTGGAAATTATAATCTCAAACCTGACAGCTAAAAGATATTTGCAAAAGGGCAGGCAGTACAGTTGGTTTGGTTGGTTAAACCTCCTGGGACACTCGCATCCCATATCAGAGTGTTGGTTTGAGTCCCAACTACTCCACTTCCATTCCAGCTTCCTGCTAGTGTGCCTAGAAAGGCAGTGGAGGCCGGCGCTGCGGCTCACTAGGCTAATCCTCCACCTTGCGGCACCGGCACACCGGGTTCTAGTCCCTATTGGGGCGCCGGAGTCTGTCCCGGTTGCCCCTCTTCCAGGCCAGCTCTCTGCTGTGGCCTGGGAGTGCAGTGGAGGATGGCCCAGGTGCTTGGGCCCTGCACCCCATGGGAGACCAGGAGAAGCACCTGGCTCCTTCTATCGGATCAGCGCGGTGCGCCGGCCGCGGCAGCCATTGGAGGGTGAACCAACGGCAAAGGAAGACCTTTGTCTCTGTCTCTCTCTCTCTCTCACTGTCCACTCTGCCTGTCGGAAGGAAGGAAGGAAGGAAGGAAGGGAGGGAGGGAGGGAGGGAGGGAGGGAGGGAGGGGATAACAGCCTAAATGCTTGGGTCCTTGCCACCAGCATGGGAGAACCGAATGGAGTCCCTGGCTCCTGTTTGGACCTTACTAAGCCTGGCTGTTGAGGATAGAAGATATTTCTCTCTGTCACTCTCTTTCAAATAAAAATAACTAAATAAATGGTTTTAAGAGAGAGAGAGAGATTTGAAGAGGTCAGCTGGTCTAGCCACTGTGCCTTTAGATAAATAAGGTGTCATACCCTTTTATCCCCAAGTGCTCAATCACTTGCCCAAAGTTAGAGAGTTAATAGGTGGGAGAAGAGGGGAAGACTAGAACAGAGATTGCAGATATATGGTATATATAATCACTCCCCCATTCTTCACTCATGGCAGACATCACTAATTTAGGCTAGTGCTCTGTCGCAATGAGCTTGAACCTGACTTGGGAATCTTCCTCAGCTCAGTAAACCATACTGGATGTCAAACTGCTTCCCATTCTGTTAGGTTGGCATCCTGGTGGAGGTGTGCTGTCTGTTGTTCCACACTACCCTTTCAAAAGAATTATTCTTTTAATGAAGCTGGCATTTTCAAGAGCAGGTACATTACTGATTATACCAGCAACACAGCTGGCAAACGCAGAGCTTATTCTGGCTTAACAATAGCCAAAATTTGCTGTGACTCCTCAGGAAGACAAACTCTCTGGCCTTGCTGGGGTCTTATGACCTCTGTAACCATGTTCTTCACCAAGCCCTAATGAGACAACTGTGCTTGTGGGGAAGCTACTCAGCCTACTTCATGCTGATTCATTAGAAAAATTACTTCCAGCTCCTGGTGGAGATACCATTCAATAGATTTTGTGGTATTTACCTATGAAAAACTTTTAAAAGAGACAATATGGGGCTGGTAATGTGGCATAGCCAGTAAAACCACCACCTGCAGTGCTAGCATCCTATATCGCACAAGCCAGTTAAAGTCCTGGCTGTTCCACTTCTGTTCCAGCTCTCTACTATGGCCTGGAAAAGCAATGGAAGATGGCCCAAGTCCTTGGGCCCATGTATCCATGCGGGAGACCCAGAAGAAGCTGCTGGGTCCTGGCTTTGGATTGACCCAGCTCCGGCCTTTGTGGCCATTTGGGGAGTGAACCAGTGGGTGGAAGATTTCTCTCTCTTTCTTTGACTCTACCTCTCTGTAATTCTGCCTTCCAGATAAATAAATTTTTTTAAAAAAGGAAGAAATATGCTTTTCATTAGAAAAAAAAGAAGAAGAAGAAGCTGTATGGAAAGAACATGAACTTCTGTGTTAGATTATCTACATATAAATCCTATGTCATCTAGAAACTATGACCTTTGGGAAAAGTTGCATAATGATCCTGAGACAGGTTTTTTTTTTTTTTTTTAATCTACGTAAAAGCAGTAATACTGCCTTCCTCCTAGAGTTGGTGAGAATAAGTGAGATCATGTAGTATAATGCCAGGAATAGAACAAAGTACAAAGAAAGTGTTCCAATTACGTTCATTAGCTCCTTCCTTCCCTTTGCAGAAATAGACTCTTCAGATACGCCTTAACTAAATCCTGTGGCTGAGCAGATAGGCAGCCGCAGGCTCTGCTGTTAGTGTTATTGGACACAGGATTTAACAAACAAATGAAAAAAGTAGGTCTCATATAAATTGTATGGCATTCCCAAAAGCGTTTTACTAAACAGTAGTCCCCTTTTGTCTATCAAGGATATATTCCAAGACCCCTAGAGAATGCCTGAAACCAAGGATAGTATCAAACCCTTTATATACTGCTTCTTCCCTCCCTCCCTTCCTCCCTCCCTCCCTCTCTCTCTCCCTCTCCCCCACCTCCTCCTCTTCCCTTTCTCCCCCTCCCTCCCTCCCAACCTCCCTCCTCCCCCTCCCCCCTTTTCAGCTCTCTGTGTGTGTGTCTCCTTCTGTCTCTCTCACTTTTCAAAAAAACAAATTCATGCATATGTGAGATCTTCATCAAGTTCATGGAAAGTATATATTTCAAAAAAACAACAGATCTAAATTTTTTAAAGATTTATTTATTTATTTAAAAGGCAGAGTTACATAGAGAGAGAGTGTGTGCACTTTTCCATCCACTGTTTCACTCCCCAAGTGGCCCAGATAACCAGAGGTGGGACAGGCCAAAGCCAAGAGCCAAGAGCTTCATCCAGGTCTCCCAGATGCATGCAAGGGCCCAAGGACTTGGTCCATCCTCTGCTGCTTTCCCAGGTGCATCTACAGGGAGCTGGCCCAGAAGTGGAGCAGCCAACACTCAAACCTGCACCCACATGGGATGCTGGCGCTAAAGGCAGCAGCTTAAACTACTGTGCCACAGAGCCATCCCCACAGATCTCAAATTTTTTTGTACCAAAATAAGTTTACTGTTTAATTTCATGTTTTAAAAAATTTATTTTATTTATTTGAAAGGCAGAGTTACAGAAAGATTGAGAGAAATAGAGAGAGACGCCTTCCATCTACTGGTTCACTCCCTAAATGGCTGAGACTAGACCAAACTGAAACCAGGAGCTTCTTCTGGTCTCTCAAGTAGGTTCAAGGACCCAATCACTTGGGTTATTTTCTGCTGCTTTCCCAGGCACATTAACAGAGAGCTGGGTCAGAAGTGGAGCAGCCAGGACTCAAACTTGTGAACTGGTCCCCATATGGGATGCCAGCATCACAGGCAGCAATTTTACCTGCTACACCACAACACTGGCTCCTAATTCCATTTTTCCACTAACTTTTTGAACTTCTCTCATACAAACCTATAATAAAGTTTAATATGTAAATTAGGCAAAATAAACAACTAGCAACAGTAACTAATAATAGAGCAGTTATAACCATGTACTAAATAAAAGTTATGTGACTACTCATATAGTGTCTGACTGTCTCAAAATATCTTACTGTATTTTCACCTTTTCACTTAAAAGAAGCAGTTCATTGCTTTTTTTTTTTTTTTTTTTTGGGCAAATTTAAATTGCCAGCATCACTATTCTTGCACTTTGGGGCCATTATTAAGTAAAATACTAGTTACTGGAACACTAACACTGCACTACCTCAACAGTTGAACTGATAACCAGTAGAGCTACTAAGTGACTTATGGGTGGATAGTATATACAATGTGGAACACTGGACAAAGGGATGATTCATGTCCCAGATGGGACAGCGCAGGATGACCTGAGATTTCATCACACTTCTCATACTCAGGAAAGTGTGCAATTTAAAACTTGTATATTGTTTTTTTCTGGAATTTTCCATTTGATATTTCCAGACTGCAGTTGCCCATGGGTAACTAAACCACAGAAAGTGAAACCAAGGGTACAGGGTTCTACTATAAATCCTATTAGTTCTGCTACTGCTCCTCACTACATAGGGTAGGCAGCCACCTGTTTAAGAAAGAGGCAGTTTTGGAATTGCCTAATAAACACTTTGATACCACTGCCAGCTGATCTGCTGTCCCATCTTGGGACATCTTACGGGACTGAAAGCTGAGGTCCAGTGCAGCCAGACCACCACTGAATTACCAGTGACCTTACAACAGATGAAATCATTAGGGGACCCCAAAAAATAAGTGTGATTTCATGTGGGTATACAGGCGTGCCTTGTCGACATTGTTTATTAATTAGAAGCATAGCAGCAATGGCCAATAGACTGTGATAAGAGCAAACTCTTTCCCCCTTCAAATGCTGTAGAGCCTGCTGTCTGGTGATTGAATAACA